TCTAGTCAAGTGCTCTAAATGTGCTGGATATGAGTACCTGAATTCAGGTCAAGGTAGTTGTCCTGGTAATTTGCTGTTTTGTGATGGTAACCAGCATGATTAAGCTGCCGCTAGAATTCATTGATGGAACGGCATGTGAATCGCGTCCAAAGTCAGGGATCGACATTACTGCATCTCGCTTGTGAACGAAGAAGTAACTGGCATCGGTGCCTTGGCACAGTCCAAAGACCCACGGATCATTAATGCATAGAACGTGGTTCTGATGATACTGCCATGTATTGCCATCGTTTTCTTTAGCAGGCGCATTTCAACCAAGAAGACAGTCCCAATTATGCGCACGACTCCCTGCAATTCCGTTTAAGTCAGTCACTTTTCCTCTCCTAGCCACAGATACCTTTTCGAAATGGATGTCGAAGAGGTTAGAGGAGACATAAAATCACTATTAGGCCTGCCTTTTACAATTAACTAGAGTAAAATTTGCCATGGAAAAGGGTAACAACCGTCCAACATGACAAACCTATCATAGCTTAATATGGAAATCAAAAACAGACGAAGACTACCAGAGTTGGGCTGGAGGTGACAATACGATAACCTTGTTTAACAAGAAAACAAAAATAGGGACGGTTGGCATTTAACAGATTACTTGTAAACGCTTTCGGATCTGCAGAAGTAGCGGTAGTCATTTTACAGATGATGTTACATACAAGGACCCCAAATTCTGACCAATGCAGAAGGCCATTTTGGATAAAAATACTCAAAGTAGTAAATAATTAAATGTCATCCAATCCAACACGACTGCTGCAGGTAGCAGAAGCAAGTTGTAACAAGTAAACGTGTTAACAGTTTGAATCCACATAAGTTTAAACAAACTTCTTTTACGGAGATGTTGTACCTCAACTCACACCTCACTGGCTCTAGCGGTTGTCCTAGCATATTTGTGAATTACACTGCTTCACGCATCTGCGGTATAAATACACACGTGCCAAAGCCACACACGACACAACGGCACCACCTTGGTTGAGTTCTCAAGTAAACGGTTGTGCCTACGTCCTCGTCGGTAGTCTTCGTCATCACGGATAGCAGGGTAGCGTAATCGGGTCGGATTCAAATATGTGGCCCTGGTATGGTTTGACACCACATTTCGAGGTTCCAAACAATTGATATAATTTGTTAAAACATACTTTCAAACGTGTTTAAATCTCTCATGGCTAGGTGGTTAAATTGTCGATTTTTCGTCCACTTTGAGCCAGTAAGGGAGCGCCACGTAACGCACACAGTTTCAGCAAGCCAAGCTGTCCTCCCTCAACACGTCAACTTCCACATTTTTACTAATAGGTGGCCTTCTGTTATTTCAAACCTTGCTTATCGCCCTCTTTACGACATGTCCTATGCCTGTTTGTTTCAAGTTTTAAAAAAAAACACAGTTTTTGACTTATTTTGGCCCCCGTTCAAATTAATTTCTAAAGGCACAGTGAAATCGAGCGTAGGCTTGATCGTCACTGTGCTTCACAGTGAACACAGTCCACTTTGATGTTGTGTGCAGAAACACATCACAATTCCCTAAACGGCAACAAGAAAGCAACCGCGTGTTTACGCATCAATGTAAAAGACATCCTCTGGAGAATTAATCGTGACTAATTAAACCGAAAATACGGGAACCCTCCAGCTACAACCAGTCATCGGACTTTGAACCTCGCAGAAGAACGGGTTCCCAAAGTGACGCTTGGTATTGCAGTGGTCGCCCGCCAGTGTCAGCAAATCAGTTTAGACCGGTTTAAGAAATTGAATTCACGGGTTATTGATGTTAGTCACGAATGAACCGCCTCAGAGAGCATATATAGCAGAGGGTTAATTTGTCCTGGTGATTTAGTCCTCTCTGTGGTGGTTTAAACTGCTGTGTAATGTCGTTTGGGTTAAAAGGAAAAGTACTTTTCAAAAAAAATGGACAAAGTGACTTTTATCGTTCACGAACGCAGCGCGTTATAAATAGAATTAATGGAAATTTGCCTTAACTATTTGCTCCAGCAACGTGCGTCAGATTTGGTGGTGGCAACTGACGCCTCCAGTTAGTCAGTCGCTTCGATTTAAAACACCTTCCCTACTTCAGCCACTTGTGTTAACAAACTACTTGACGTGTTTCTATTCATTTATACTCCCTTAGAGAAAAATCTGTGCAGGGCTGTGGCACTAGTGTTAGATCTAGTAGCTGAATTTTGATTTAGGATCTGCGTTGAGAGTTTGTTCAGGTGCAATTGTTTAAATGCGAAAAAGTGGTCGATTAAAACAGATGGTTAATTGCCCAGTCCGGTGAAAATAGTGATGTTATCTGGAAACATGTGCAGGCCTGTCATCGTAATGCGGGAGACTTCTTTACCTCGAATGACTGTGCATTGTACAAGTTAAATTATAAGGGGCATGTGTTGGTTTTAATTCCAACTATTGCATTTTCAGTATGTGCTCGTGAAGATCATCATCAAGACAGGTGACTCTTTTACGTTCTGTCCCCATTGCCTCGTCCGGCAAATTGTCGCGATGAAACTGCAAGCTAAGCATTATCCACGCCACAGCGAAGCAGATGAGGATTTGGATGTGCATTTCAACACTTGGCAAATAACCAAATATATTCGCAAAATTAATCAATCCAATCCACCCACTATTTTAACTCTACACAACCTCTGTGACTACACGAATTCGTACCTCCAAATCCATGAGAATCTACTTAACGCCTAAGTGATTCCAAGAAACCCTTAACTCAAGTAGCCCTAAGAGCATATCTCGTAAGAAAACATTTAGGGTGCATGGAATCGCAGGTGGACGTAGGTGGTAAGAAAAACCAGCCCATTACAGGAGGAGACTTTGCAGCCTCAAAAGTTGGCATTGCACTACACAACCTGAGGACATTTGTATTCAGGCATACTAGTTTGAATAATGCAAATTCAATGTGCACTGTAAACCTCCTATTCAATCGCATTGCCTCGGTTTTCACACACTGTCACAATTTATTAGTCCTACTGTTGAGGTTCCTCGGTTCTGTAACAAAGCGGCGCTTCTTTGTGCAAAGAGTGTGGCTAAACAATCATGTCCGCAAAGCTGGACATTCGCGAATTGAAAAAAAAAAACTGCGATTAGTTAAATACAATTGTCTTTGGTACCAAGGTGTGCGTTGGTGTAAGGGCGATGAAGTACAAAAAAGGCAAACCCCAGACTGTTCTAGAATGATGCACATTGAAAGTAAGCTTCCTCAATTTCACTCTTGTTGTGGCATATCGCAGTGGCGGTTCACCGGCAACGGCTACAGCAAAAACTAAAATGCGATTCCGCTTTAATGATTTCAATGATTCTAATTAAGTTTTTAAGTGGATTACAACACCCGAAATTATTGCAAATGAAACTGTATCTCGTAATCTCGTAATCGCGTTGCATAAGCTGCCGAGCCAGACAAACTTATCGATTGCTTGTCATTGGAGTGCCATCTGAAAGAAAACCTGCATCGCTAGAAGTAAACTTATGACAAAGGCGCGTTGGAAATATATTTTGAGATTTTCAAATTTCTTGACAAAGACATTAATCTCTAACCCAAAGAAGGCGTGAAAGGGAATTCGTAAGGAATTTAGTACCACGGTTACTACCAGGTGAATCATTGTTCGATACTTCAAAGCCGGCCAATAGACACTATTTCCTATGGGAAAGAGAACAACATTTAGATAGCACTTGTTGGAAGACTGACAAAAAAAACCAGATTTAAAAGGCCGTTTGGGTCACTATAACATCCAGCTTAATAATGGGAAATATGTGTCAGTGATTCCACAAGATATGCTTGAGAAAAAGACCTGCAATTGCATTCTCAGAGATGTTCCGGTAGAGATTATCGAACATGAGACAAAAGTAATGAAAAAACGCAATTATCCCAAGTGTTGTTGGTGACAATGCCCAACCACACATTCCACAGAACACACTTCAAATGCTGCACGTCCAGATAACTGAAGCTTCAAAGATGATAAAAGCTAAATACTGAATCATTATTGCAAAAATATCATTCGAATCTAAGGTGATAGGGTTGGAGGTAGGGACATGACGACTTAGAGTCAGTACATCGGTCACCGAATGGGTTACTAAGGAGACAAAACCTGATGCTTTCAATGAATGAGTCGAAATTGCTAGGAGTCATTTCATTAAATCTATAGATCAGATCATAATCACTTTTGACCCTCGGGATTTTGCTCCGATTTCCAGGTTTAATCCAATTATCCTGTTACAAATGCGTCATCTTCGTCATGCAGACTCAGTGGAGATATGAAGCAGCAATTACTGCTACAGCCATTCTCTGAAATCAAGGGATTTTGCTTATGGGGTCGATTATTTACAAGGACTTTGTAAGGATATGATAAGTCATGTTGACTGTCATTTAAAGAGTGACTATGTCCTCATTGTTTACATCATCGCTGTGAGACGCTACCTGACTTCTCATCGCAGTTTCACACACAGTTCCACTATGTTTGTAGTCAGCAGCTTAACTCAGCTTCCTATAAAGCTAACTAGTCAGTTACACCAAAGCTTGGAAGTATGCAAAATTGTCGATGTGAGTAACTTACAGTCCATTACTGAGGATGGACTGCAACATTCCAGGGGATTGCGACAAATGCTTCTTGGATGTTGAGATTAATCGTTGCCAGGAGCCTAAATCAAAGACACTGCCTACGCACCACCTGTTTGACATCGTTTTGCATGTCAACACTTAATCTTGCAACTACTGAGAGCCAGACGCGACGTTCGGCACACGAGGGTTTGGGGCTTCGGCCGGTGCAGGCGTTGTCAAACACCGTCATAGGGCATTCAGGGCCTTAGATGACGAATTTAAGCGTTTACACGTCAGGTTCGCACTCAAATTTCCTAGACGGCTTACAGAATTTTGCAGATTTTGGAATGGTAAACCACTTGAGACGCATATTTTCATCAAATATTATTTAAATAAATAATAACATCTGGCCAGTTCACGAAAGTTAAACTTCGTTCACTTTCCAATTCAGCATCAAGGGATCAAAGTGAGAGTATACTTCTGTTGAATGCACTACTGTGGGGATTTCATAGATAACCCTATAACTGCCGCTGACAGATCGACTAACCAACTGTTCCAAAATGGGTACAAAGTTGTGCTTCTCATCCATTTTAATGCTTTTCATAGGGCAACGTCGAACAAATGCATATTTACCAGCCAGTTGGCCGCAAGCTGCAATGGCTCTTCTGTATCTCCATTCTGCCAAATGGGAGAAACCATTATAAATGCAGTCGACATTTCTAGGGTACATTTCCACGAGCACCTTGACAGCTCTCTTAGGAGTTGGCACCCACATCTCACCGAACGGTCGGTAAACCAAGGGGAACACATCGTCCACGAGGTAGGAGTAGTGCTGAAGGTTATAACTCTCCAATTCGTGAAGAGTTTTGCCCTCGATTTTGTAGTAGCAGATGTCAAGAAAAGGCCATCCATAGTCCCTCCATGAGACCTGCCGTGTACCTTCCACGTCCACATCATTTATAGTAGAGGGAAGAATAGACATGTAGACTTTGTCCTTGTAACCTGACTTGTAAACGTGAAATCCCTCACTTCGACGACTCTCAATTGCACGCTGAATGAGACCTCGATATTTAATATCCACAAGAACGTCGGCATCGTCGTCCCATGGGATCAAGTCATGATGCCTTAGGGACCCCAGCAAAGTGCCTCCACTAAGGAACCACTTGTCCTCCAAGTTATTTGTCCGCATTATGTCCGCGATGAGATTGAGGTACTTTGTCAGCAAACCACGCTGTCCAACAGACATCCTGGGCTCAAAAAATTTGGCCCGAAAAATGTCCTTGGGGTTCGGGGAAGGTGCGTAAACGCGCGTGGACAAAAGCGCATCTGTGATGTTTGGGAAAAGCCCCGGTTTGTACTGTGGCTTTACTAAAAAATTCTCCACCAGGGCAGCTTCATCGAAGTCAACAGTTTGCGACTGAAGGCAGGGGGGAATTCGCGTGGGAGGTGCCGGACACACCAGTGTGCAAATGATGAAAACCATGCTAATTAACAAGACCCCGAAAAGGATAGCCTCGCGAACATGATGGGAAATCATTTTTCTAAAAGGAGAAAATGCAGAAAAAAATATAACTAAAAAAGCACTTCGTCTTAAGTGTTGAGGTAAAAACCGGACATGCGGTTTAGATGATAGGGAGTAAACCTGCGATCAATCAATGAGCATCATGTATGGTCAGGTCGATGCGAGCAGACACAAGGCATCGTGTGTAGAAAACAAGAAGTAAACAGATTTATAAAAAAAGATGGGCGCTGTCAGCGCAAGCAGCGTGATCTGAAATGCAGTAATATACGAATAGGTATTCTCTCAAATGTTCAGAGCGGAACAATTTCACATCTGTAATTTAGGCAATAATTTGTACTTCAAAGATTTGCTGTTAGATTGCTTTCCGGATTTTGGTTTTTTGTAGTCTTCAGTGATGATAATAATATTACTTAAGGCTTGTTAACAACAAAAGCACTGTGCATACCGAAATAGAGAACACACAACGTCCTAGATCAGGGAAATCGTGACTGCGACGATTTTAGGCGGGATGCAACAGGCTACTCGGGCTTGTGTTCGCCAGTGCGAATTAGCATGGAGGCATTTGTGTGTTGTAACAAAAGGTCATTATAGTAAGTGAATTGCCTGCTTTAAAGGTTACGTTTTGCCCACAATTTAGCGTATTTTTTCCGTTTTCATGCCACTGTAGCGGGACCGTGCGTTTGTGCTTACGGTAGTAATCGGATACCCACGGTTTTAAATTTTCACACAGTTTATTTTACCTGCTTACAACTACCCCACACCCGCCCATCCCCTACCCATGCTAACCACACACGAAACTCGTGCAGTAAGTTAATACACGGGTGCGTCTCTATTGTCACTACGCTACTCCTAGCGTCGAATCATCGTCCACGCTGGCGCTTGGTCAAGATTTGGAACTGTAATTCGTGTCAAGTCATTGCAAAGGCTTCTGCCACGTGGGTGATAGTGACGTTGAGCGGAAAACATTCTATCTAAGTCCGCCGACGTTATCGTAGCTACGACAAGCCTGAAGAGGTCCAAGAAACACAGTACACTACTTAAACCCATTGACTCCAACGAACATGGAAATGGACTGTTTGAAAAAAATACTAACACGGTCGAAAGGGCGAATCGATACCTGTGGAGGTTTCCAGTTCACATTCTAACATGCGTACTAGGTAACAAGGCAGATACCAACCAAACCTAAAACGTGAAATTTAAGAACGCGGGGTTGGTCTACCCAACGTGTTCTAACATCTACTGTACTTTAAACAATCCCTCTAGCCCCAAAGCTGGTAAAGAGACGTCTAATTCAACACGCCTGTGATGCTACAAGGCACGACTTTATGGAAAGTAAAGTGAAATAAGTATTGACTAATTACTAATCTGCCCAATCGAGTGACAGAAATCGAGCAGTGCTGTCGCTGCCAAAGCGAAACGATTTGCCCTGTGGTTTAGATAATGCAAGTGAATTTGCCGCAGTCTGATCTCTAGTCCAGTGATTTTCCTCGTGATTTTCGCATATCCTACGCACAATGACTACCACGCAGTGGAGTCTTCTGGCCCCAAACAGAAAACATTTGGAATTACCTGAGTAAGCACACTCTGGTACTTTACCAGTGTTTGCGAGACTCACATTTGCATCATAAGCCTAACTTCTATTGCGAGGAATAGGAGCTTTTTTTAACAGAAAGAGGTCTAAACCCTGCTTAGGTTTTTCAGTTTTAACCACAATAAATCAGTGACTGTTCCAGTCTCTGCCTTTCTATCTCAATCATTTTCTTAGCATCTGTTCATTGTAAGCAGCAATTTATGACCGTTCTTCAAGACCTGTCATCCACAGAAAAGACCAAAATTTGGTCACATGTTGGCTCAGCCCCGTTCGAGCCGTTGAAGAGTTAGCAAGCGACCAAGTTGAAAGCATTTACGAGGTCATGCAAAAATACAGAGACAGCAAGTCAAAAAAAATCATGGTGATAACAATTAGAGATGTAAATCCGGGTAGTGAATAAAATTAATTATGACCATGGGACTTACTTCTTTGATTTCGGGCCATTGAATGATGAAGATGAGCCGTCATTTATGCAGGTTACTGAAGTCGCACCTGATTGGTTTGTTGTTTTCTGTAGCCAATAATATTTCGATCGCATAATCTGAGCTTTACATATGCAAAAGACTGTAATAACAAGGGCAAATGAGCTATTTCTGTGCTGTAGTGACATAAAATAAGCATAATATCGACCAGCGGTTGTGCAGTACATTCCTAATGCTCAAGTTCAAGTTCATTACAATTACTAGATGTTGGGAAAGATCAAAGCAGCACAAAACTGGCTTTTGAGGTATTTACATTTCCTCTTTGGGCACATCCTTGCTTTCAGATTGTTGTGCAGAAGTACAATGGGGTTTTCAGGAATTCTGGCGCAGATTAGTAAAACTGCTGCAGCACAACTGAGTTTCGCGGTTTGGTCGCAGTTTCTTCTTCCACATTTATTTTAAGGAGACATCGGAAAAGAGCTTTTATTGCGGGCTACAGATGTGTCCAAAACAGCAAGCAACAAATCGGTAGATTAGGCAAAAATGTGTTGTGAGCACTAAGATCATTCGACGGGTTTGATTGTGATCACCTATTACTGATGCACTGAATGCTTGAAAATGACTAACGTTATCTTAGCAGAAACATGCCCAAGTTGTTTGTACACTCGTATCCTGGAGTCTGGAGCCTTGGTAACTGACTTCATGATATGCAAGTAAATTACTGCCACACGGTGAGTTTGACGTGCTTCCCAAAGTCGACATTGCGCCTGTGCCATTTGCACCACTCGGGTGCAGTGTAAAACGAACCCGTCCGTTTCGGAATGTGGAGCTGAGATTGTTACTAAATTGGTTCGGCAACTCCTGTGCAATAAAAAAAGTTGTGTTATCACAGTGACGCTGTTTGGTTTATTCGGGAGCCCCCAGTAACGGCAAATTGTAACCGCCTTAACAGGCTTGGAGTCGAGTTCGTGTTTAGCTAAAAGACACAGAATGAGGATATCGGTGGTACGAGTCCCTACCGGAGTAATGTCATCAGGTTCATTGTTCAAATTTGATGGTATGACGTTAACAAAGAGGAGTGGTGCGTACAGAAATTAAAACCAACCCGTTCAGCACTGATGCCTTTTCACTCACAACATTAACGCTTAGGTATACACCCAGGTGGTAAAAAAAGACGGTCTCCATTATACAGCACACCTCGTACATAACAAGCCACACGATATATCTGTTAATTTTCATTGGCTAATTTTGTGACTACTGGGAGTCACTTAAGATCAGAAGGATGCGTAATCGCGTGATTGTTCAAGCAGAATGTTGAAACATTTGGAGAAATGGGAAGAGAAATGAGACGATACCTGGTCGGTAGACAAACTGTTACACAAATGATTATCAGGATATCAATTCTGGCCTTCTGGCATTGGCCTCTGTTCAAATGTTTCAAATTGATCTTCATGAGCTTGAAAATGTCACTTATGCGTCTAATCCGCAGATTATCTGCTTATGAATGCTCACACGTAGGTAATTCTTGACAAAGTTAAAAAATTACGGCAGCCCTTTTACAATTTTTCTTTTATGTCCAGACTAATATCGTCAGGTTTCACAATTATTCTTCCTGATAATAACATGCTGGTCATACATTTTGCTTTTATCAGACGGCAGTGATGCTGTTTTCAATCAACCTAGCAATGAAGCGTTAACTTGTGTACCCCAAACTAACTACGAATTTTCCGCTCATTTGCTGGCAGTGCCAGGACACTCTGCTTAATATTACCATGGTAAGCAGAATCGCCGGTTTGATTGCATATATTTGCACTGTTTGATGAGTTGTAACCTCATCAGTGAGCAACAGGTGAGGGCACTACTACTACATGTGATCAAGTCAGTCACAAGTGGTGTCGTGTGTGGTCAAAAATGTGCTTGATGAACGAGGCACAAGTTGAGAGTTCTCCCTAAGTCGTTGGACGCAATAACAACACCGCGACACCAGTCGAAAGTTTTCAATCGTTAGTTTACCCAATGTACACTTCGCCTGATTGTGCCTGCTTCGTAAAACGGCCACGTTTTAATCTGTTATGTCGTGAATTCTACACTCGTTATTTGCAAATAATGTCACATTGAAACAAAACTATGGAATTTAGTAAACAATGGATATGAAACACAATGTCAGATCATTTGGAGTAATTTTTAAAGAATAAAGCGCTTGAAATCGAAGCCCATACGAAGTCACCGTAATTGATCAGTGGCTTCTACTTAACTAAATATAGGGTAGATAAATCTAACTTTGAAGGAGTTGCGGCGTGATGTGGTAGTCACAAAGAACTTCAAATGAAGGCAATCACACTAACCTCTTTATAGCTAGCAGAGTGACTAAAAATTTAACCTGTCTTGAGAATTAAATGGCAGCTCAAAATAGCCACACATTTGCAAAATTTCAATCAACTCCATCACTCCATAGCTGCGCGAGTATTTATTAAGATAATTTAAAGAAAACGCCATTCAAAGTATTTCAGCAGAAAAGCTGTTTCAGACCACAAAAATCCCTACCTTTGTCTTGTTTTTGCAGCAATTTTTCACTAAACTCATAACGGTTAATTTAAACGGTGAGTAACCTCACATGACTTGGGTTGCGTTAGGCGTCAGGTGACTTGTTAGGTTACAACAAAAAAAAACATTTTTGTAATTGGAGTCATTTAAACCAGTTCCACGTTCAGAGAGCATCTTGATCTGGCCTTCGAAGTTACTACCTTCGCAAGTTGCCTTAAGAAGCACCACTTCAGAAGAGGAGATGGGTTTTTAATCTAAAAAAAGACACAATCACTAGGCACAGAAAAAATGAACTCCTTTATACTGAAAAGCTTGACTGAGTGAACTAAGCAACTCTAATTGCCAATCACCTAATCGCCTGATAGGTAAATATCTCCGATTCAAAAAGGATCTTGGATTTAAGGCTACTCATTTGAACTTCGCGTTATTGGGTTATGTCAACAGACGCCATGGTCTGAACCAGGACGAGAATAAACAATCGAAAAGTGATATTAGCGCAAAATACTGCAAAATAAGGTATCAGCAGAAAGTTGTTCTTTACTCGGTAGGTGAGAAGCATAACTACCTGAAAACTGACCTAGGTTAGACTCCACGAAAATCGATTCTGTCCACAGCTGTCGTTGACAAAAGCGGATTCGAAATTCTGCATCAAATTATACGTGAGCTATGCTTATATGTCCAATACAGCACCAGAGATGTGCTTTGAGTTGCTGAATTTTCCCAACTTTCATATTCCATAAAGCGTAGAAGTGGTGTGGCTGCGATCAGCTCAAAATTTCTGATCTGATCAAATTTGATTATTGATGTTTTCGACTTTGAATCGAACTATCAATGTTGATGGGTGGCAAGCAAATAAGAAATTGCTGCCATCGTCAAATATGCGCACACCGATCTGTTAAGCCAGAAAGATGGCATAACATGTGGTTTGCTAGTGCGTAAATTGGATACCCATTAGTACTTGATAGTTAAAATTGCAATGACACTTCAATTGCATCATCCACGCCCTTACTATCACTACTTGAGTTTCTGACGCAGTTGACACACTGCAACAACCCAACGATGACACAACTTTGCAGCATCTTCATCATCATCGGTTCAAGTTTGAATCTGAAAAAAATGCGGTCTGAAACACAAGTCCACCTGCAATACTCCAGATTTTCTAACAAATCACGCACTAGACTCACATATTATAGTTTTGAGCAAAACTTGGAGTGAGAATTTCAGGTTACGGTGAGGTCGACTGTAAGGCACCGCCCCGATTTTTTACTCAACATGATACTATGCACGTGTGCACTTCTGAATCAGGCAATATCTATGCCAGATTGACGTTGGAATTCGTGAGAATAGGGTAGCCAAGTGAACAATTGATTGCTATCGATGCTTAAAATGTCGAAGAAAATGAAACCTAGCGGATGTTTGGTAGGGACCCGACGATGTACGTGTCATTAGAATGCGTGATAAAGACTTAGTTGGGCTCATTGTAAGGATGTTTGAAGACATTTATTACATTGTATTAAACAGTGATGAAAATTGACAAATTAAACGAGAAGAACTGCAACTTATTTACAAGGAGCGACTCGAAAGACTTGTGTATATCCGTATGGGTGTGCGTGTGTGTGTGTGTGTGAGTGAATGTGAGCATGGGGCAAAAATAACAAATAAGGAAATCAAAACAAAAAGGGGTGCTGTTGGTGATCAAAATACAGTTAATTAAAATTCAGTTGAGACGAGATCGAATGGGGTGGAGAGACAGAAATATGTCGGGTCCATGGCATTCGGATGAAGACACTCATCGTCAATGTTGATGACACCACCACCGCTGACCTCGGCGCTGATAGCGGCTGCGGCGAAGTCTGCTTCCGTGGACAGCGTCAGGGGGTAGCAGGCGTCGGCAACAGGCAGCGCCTCATCACCCGCATGTGGAGGTGCCACGAGCAAAGGCTGGTCGTGCGGTTGCGGCGGCGGAAGGTGATGGGACACCGATGGCGTCGGAGACAGAACATCGTAGGGAATGGAGAAAGTTGGCTTCATTGTGCCTGGGATTGCAGAAATCTCGAACACGTTCGAAGGCCCACTAACGTCTGGCGAGAGCGCAGCCTGGTAAACGGGAAGGTAGTGACCTTCAGGAGGTGCCATGGAGGCTTCTGGGGCTTCAGCTGATACAAGAAGCTACAAAAGAGTGCATAATTCCACTAAACAACCCTAGAAAATCAAGTAAAATCAATGATTTGACAAAGTAAGACACTTACACTCTCCAATTACTTTAGAAAATATCAGAAGGTTAGGGCAAATAATAAGCATACAAAAGCAGAATTAAGAGGAAAATTGCTATGAAGCATAAGTCACATGATAATTTCACGGTGCTGCCAGTATAAATTAATAGCAGCAGAAAGCATGTGGATGCAAAAAAATTGACTAAATTCTATAAAAAATTAGATTTTGATTTAGGGGCCCTATAATTAATAATAAGTTCAATTACCATTAAATCCAAAATACGGGAATGACAAGTGTATCAAAAATTGCACAATTCTAACATATACTTGTTCACATAAGGCGGAGTTCCGTTTATGTGATCAGGATTGAGTAAAACAATTAATACCACGGTTAGTTATTTTTAAGCCACTTAAGAACAATGGATTTAACCCACATTTGGCAACGAAAGCCGTCAAAATTGCACTACGCTGGGGTTAGGGCACACCCTTTTTACAATTGGTCAACGTTATCACATCTCTGAACAGTTGCCGTGGTCCCCACTGACCTCCAGTGCTCTTTATTAGTATAGAGAGGGTTTCATTACGTCGCCCAACATGGGACTAAATTTAAATGCAAACACACCTTGTCATTGTAAAGCATTGATCAGTAGCTTATCAAGGACAACGCAATTATTAGACAAACTTGCTGAAATGTCTAGATAAATGATGCTACTCATTTATGTGTGAGTAGACGATATTAAGCAAAACAAATGAAGAGCATGAGCAGTAACTGAACTTTCAAAAAGAAATCAGAGTCCGTGGTTTTCAACAAAATGGAGAGGTGCTCTGTGCTTGCTAATTCCTTGAGTAAATTAGCAGCGAAGTTATGCCACAAGCCTCAAGGTTCAATGGCTTGGAAGGCAGACAATTAGCGAGTCTCCACACTTGGAGCGTAGATGCTTTTCATTTTAGCAGCACATATCTATGACTAGAACATCAGGCAGCATAAACTTATAAAAATGGAAAGCTTAACAAGCCTTGTCCCAGCAAAATTGAAGTTCTCTAATATGCTTCAGAACCTATGAACTCACATTTGTATAGTCGGTGACTGCTTGGTCGGCTGAAACAAGACATTGTAAATCAGCTGGGTAAAAAGCATCACTAGTCATATGATGAACTGGATACGGCATTGCAATCGGAATTTCAGATGTGATCGTGTTCGAAAAGCCCGAAGGAGGGCATGCTTGCATTTGCGGATAACTGTACTTGACTGCTTGTTCGGTTGCAAGAGGATGAGCATCCAAGTAGTGAGGCATTGAGGGAGATGAAATGTCTTTTCGGTAACTTTCAACTGGATATTGCAGATTTCGAAGCTGCAAAAGTGCGAAAATTAGTAAGTCATTGGAAAAAGTAAGATACCGTGAATTAATTAGTTACCTTATTAACGGATTCCAGGATATGATCTAGACATTTCCCGAATTCAGCGAGTATGGCTAGTTCTTGCTCGCAATCCGACATATTTTGCTGAGTGGCCATAAAAAGTTGAGAAAGCATACAGGAACAAGAAACCTCAATCACTTCAGATGTGATGCATGCAGCAAAAAATCTATAAGGCAAATACGTTATTGGCTTAATAAGAAAAAAAAACAAACGACTGAGATCTGCCAAATAAATTAGGCGGCCCACTAGACACATCCAACTTTTTCCGTGAATTTAACGATGATTCAAGTGTATACCTTATTTAGCAATAGTATATCAGATAGATATGCAGCATACTTGTCATTTTGCCGATGAAACTGGTGAGAGTTGATTCCTTGAACAGCATTAGGATGAATCGATTTAGCAAAATTTCTACAACCTCTACACCTACAGAGGTCAGAGCAACTTATTTTGGCCTAAGACAAAAATATTTGAATGTTATTTACTTCATAGCATTCACAATAATTCTTCAAACAGTTTGATCTCTTGCAGTTGCAACCCTTGGAATGTTTTCGCAGAGAGGAACCTATAAGGGGATAATATATAATGAAATCAGCCGACCTATTTTAGGGTAAAATGCTAGTGGATTACGTTCAAGTGTTATCCGAATTGCCTTTCTTCTTTCGTCTTCGAAATTATAATTATTCATGCAGTTTGAGCAATTACAACGGTCACAAGGCTGTCCTCTGGCAAAACACTCGCAATATAATTTTAAACAGTGTGACTTTGTGCAATTGCATGAACGCCTTTCAGACTTTTGGGAGGTTTTTTGCAAGTAAACACCAGTACTTTGATAGGATAGAAGAGACGAAGGTGAATTGAGATACATCAAAGCCTGCACAGCAGCAACCTGATTTTGATGATCAGCTGATACGGATTGTAATTCATAACCGACTGAATTCTCGGATAGGTTATACTCTACAGATTGACTAGCATCATTTGTAGGAGATGAAAAAAGTCGATCCTCAGAGAATTCCAAGTCTGTGTCTCTAAACATTTTAAAAAGGACAGCAATTACGTTTCTGTGTTAAAGCGATTAAACAGTTCAAATCAAGCCACAAGGCCATTGCAGAATTGGCTCATATTATTTGGTGCATGGTACAGGCATATTATGCATTAATATACTTATTTAACTACCGGAGGTGCATATTTCAGATGCATAGCACAAATTATCATTGCACATGTTCACAGAAATGGGAATTATTAAGTGCCCACGGGATTGGCTTCATTGAAATAGACCCTGAATAAGATTATTGAAAGATACAAACAAGTCACTGCAGATATAAAATTGATTATTGAAAGACTAATAAGTCCCTAGCATGCGCCAAAAATTATAATTTACTCGTAGAATATTTGATTTACCACTAACACACAAGATGCAAAACGTTGGATAAATTAAGGTACCGTTCTCAATGAATATAATTTTCCTCCTTATAATCTAGATTTGACGTTGCAGAGTACGCGCTATCTGAAGAGTCCTAGAATACCATAGAGGGAATTTAATTCTACATGCCTTTTCTTACTCAGTATTAAATCACATTTTCACATTCGGCTTTGACGATAAAGAAAGCTACCAAATGGCATTTTAAGCAATGATGCTCACAAAGTATGGTAAAACCGATTAGGCGTATTGCCAAAGATTTTATCCCTAAAATGGTGGATGTTTTATAACACCAGCAAAACACAGGTAATTCAATTTAGGTAATTTGTTTGCGAACGGACTTGAGTTCAAATTTAAATCGTTGCAAAATAAATGTCAAAAAAATTAGCACTTGAATTATTGTTCAACGGGCACAATAGTTATTTTGACATATCTTCCTGTGCATTAATTATGGTAACAAGATATTTTACTACTTCAGGACTTTGAAACCAAAATTTATGTTAAATAAACCCCAGCCTTGATAACCGAGAATATTTTGTTTACCATATAGCTGTTCATTGTGTCATGCGAAGGACTAATGAAGAAAAATTAATACTACTACTTCCATTTAATAATCGCAAGATTTTCGTAAAAGCTTTACTACTGATCCTAAGGACTACCGACAGAGGCAAAATCTATCCTTAATTTAAAACTCTGGGTTCGCACAAATAGATGTCGAATTTCGACAGCTTAATTTTTCGCTACTGTTTCTGGGAATAAGATATGAGCTTTATTCAGATTGGTTATATTACAGGTTTATGAACGAACATTACAGTATCAATACTATATGATAATAATGCTTTTGACCTTAGTTTCAAACAGCTCCATTCCGAATTGTGTTATTGTGCATTTTGAATGCCTGCAAGTCTCCTCGAGGTTCCTTCGTTGTAAACAGCAATGCAGCCTTTAACTAAGTATGTTTAACTTAGGCCCACATAATCTTAGTGTTCCTCTCCAGAATTTTTGTCTGTCTTTAATAGAATTTAGTTTGATGGCATGAATTAAATTTGTGTTAATTGTGCTGATTTATAATTTGATGAATAGTTACACATTTCTTAAATAAATATAAGTTTCTGAGTAACTTCTCATGCGTAAGTTTATGTCCGAAAAATCTGAGGGACTTCATCCGGGATACTATCTGTGTACGCTTTTCCTCGGATAACGAGCACAATAGATGGCATATGTTTACCTACTTTATTATCTTCGTGCAAAAGTGATGTTAACCTATGTTTTGAGTAATAGAATGACAATACTGTTAAGCCTTATTGAAAGTTCGGAACTTGGTACTTTTATCGAGTTTGGAACCTTATCGTCTTGTAGTTGCCATCGTGTACTTGAGAGACACATTAGTACATATCGTTTAAAACTCTTGAAACAATTTCTTAATACTACTTTGTCCAGGATTTTTCGAGACATGTTGACAAATATGACTGAATTACAGTTCGAATAGTCGCTTTGTACTTATGTAATGGATCTAAAAGGCCTTTCCAATTTGATAATTCGTAGAGATGTCAATCTAGTACCTTTTCTTGCTCTTTTCAATTAAGTAAACGCTAGCACAAATGTACTATCATTTTATTTTAGCATTCAGCACTACATACATATTCAGAAGCAATATATTATACAGTGCGCCATGGAACTGAAGGTGATGTTCTTCTGTCATATTGATTCACGCATTGCATTCTTGTGCTTCTATGCTTCTATTAGGTACTCAATACATCCACAGACAGTCATTTTCATTTATACCCTTCGAAATATGTTGTTCAACAACTTAATTTATGAAAAAACCGCTTTTGGAGTGAGTTAGGTCGTTAAAATAGCATAAATTCTAAGTGGATATGGACAACATTTAGGGCCAAGATTTACAAGCACGTTTCTGTACAAATACTCTGCTGCAATATTAGTTCCTGAAATTTAAACTGGGAAATTGACTTTAGATTTTTGTCAACACCATGTACGTTGAATAAAATAGTTTACTCAGGTTTCAGGAGTAATGCACTGGTCTATTTTGGAAGTAATCTCAACCAGCCAATGCAGGATCTTCTTTAAGTTGCATTATTGATGGCTTTCCTCCTCGGTTTAGCGACACAGCCGACCCATCACACATGTATTGAATCGACCATAACTCAGTTGTGGGATAAATGAAAAAAGTTTAAATTTAGTTCTAATCGAGTCATTGTGTATAAGTCCTCTTGTTGATAAGTAAACTGAAGTAGTTGATTATTGTCCGATTGCGCCTTTCGAGGTGCCAGGAGTAATTAGTCCCTCATTATCAGCATGAGTGGTGTGGTAGTCTTGGTCCTCTTTCGCTCTATTCGCTTGTTCTTCTCCACGTAGGCCTCTCTTTTGATGGAGAACAGTTTAGGTAGCCTCTCTGATCCAGATTCTGATAGCATCCACCAAATGGACGTCCACCGTCTGGACGGACTCTGGAATCATCTTATCCGATCAGCCTCGAAACTGTCCAATTTTACTACCTCCGGAATCGATGGAACTGTGGCCTTCATTGATCCCCTGAGGCAAATTCTTGACCTCTTCATGGAAGTCGTTGCAGCCATTCAAGACGAAGTCGTGGTTATTAAACTTCTCTGGTCTCTTGACAGGGGCATCGAACGGCGACTCTTCACCCCTTTGTATGGAGTTAATTGTTCAAGTTCTATCAAATGATATACCATCCTTTAGGACTTTTAGTAGCACTATTTTATGAATTGGCATATATTAGTCCTTACTTCTACTCTTTTTTTTCAAATGGCTGTTCATTTAGTCTGTTGATTTACATTTTTGAATATGACTGCATCTGGGGAGGATTAAGAACTGTACTTAAATGACCCTAAGTTCAGGTTTCCTGTGCTTTCATGAGCTGCGGTAGACCAGATCAAGGTTTTAAACGCAGGAGTTCGATTGACTAACGTAGCTAGCGGCACTATCAAGCAGCTTATAATGTTAAGAGACAATTTTAATGTCGAAGTTTTAATCGACTCAGTGTGATCACTTACCAGTAATGTTTACTTTCAGGATCGTCGTCAATGCCATATTGCCAAGACGTGAGCTGACTGTCGAAAATCGAGTATTCTTCCGCTCTGTGTTCAGGTTCTTGCTGAAGCTTGTATTTTTTCTCGATTATAAGAACAATCGATTTGTCTTCAGCAAGACTATTGAAAAGTCATGTCTATTCTACGCCCCATCTTCTAAAGGACGATCTCTCTATGCCTATGACCTTTACCCCGCCGTTGAGGTGAGCTGTACTAGACTATTCCTGTTTCAAATATTATTATCAGCTAATGCTTTTTTTGGAAATTTATCCGTCACGAGCCTTCGAGTTCTTACTTGTCTATTTAAACCGGTTGGTTCATTTGGCCTGTTGCAGTCTTAGGGTTAGAGTAAATGGGCTCGGTAAAGTGTCGTCTACGACTATCAGTCAAAACAGTAAAGATCACTAGGCAAACGTCTGCACGAACAAAGTTAGAGCTGCAAGCAGCTCGCTCGTTGCTAGTGAAGAACGTTTGCGAATTCTCTTGAAGTCACCTCACGTCAGTGTGCTGATTGTCAGTGCAAGCAGCTAAGTGGTATCTCAGCCCCATGTTTTGTTGTGCTGTCAAGGTTATGTGACACGTGGTGCTAGCGGTCGATGTTTACACTGCACGCCTCTGCAGCATTCTCAATTCCTGTTGGCCGCCCTCTGTAATCGTGTCCACGCAACTCTCAATTACTCTCTCAGTGCACATAGTTGTACCTTTTCAATGCGGAGCAATTTGTCCCACGTTTCATCTAGTTAGTCTGGCAAATTCGATGGTTTTAGGCGAATTAAACTGTTTTAAATTCCGTTTTTGTGGTTCGTGAATGCACCTGGAGCTTTGAGTTGCCACCCACAAAGATTCCTGACTTTCTGTGTTTATTTTCGTTGTTTAATCATTGACATCGCTACAGCAATAGGTGTCATCTTGCTAACCCCCCCTCACTGAATACATTGTACGTATTTACATCGCCCCGAGTGCGTTACTAACCTACGATTGCCTCGTTTAGGCCTGGAAAATTTCACCACTCTAATTCTACTTACTAATCTCTCAAGGTGATTTTCAGCAAGGTTAGGAGTTGTATTAACTGAGATTAGACTTTTGTTTGCCCATAAAATCACTCCTTGCTGTTAGGCGTTCCAAAAACACTCAAAATATACCCATGAGAATGGCTAACGTCCTCCTGCTCGACAGTAATCGATCCCACGTCGTTAACCTGCCACTGAAGGGCCTCAGTAGTTCCCTGTAAAAAAACAGTCTTTTTCAGTTTACTGATCGCTTTATGGCGCAAAAGTTATTCCTTCACCCCTAAACAGTACAATGATTATTTTCGAAGCTGATAATATGTGGACCTGGGTTTAGATTATTGATTGAACAGATAGCGAACAGCGAGACCTTAACATCGGTAAGAAAACTGACTAATGCAGCAAAACTAAGTACTGATATGTAATAAGTGAATATTGTTTATCCAGCTTATCCAGGTGCTTCTTTGTCGCGAAATCAACCTCCTCCCGGCCTACTTCACAATGCACGAACTAAACACCAAATTCAGGGGAGACAAGAGTACTCGGCCACATAATGTAGGTCCCCTTCGTAGCTGTCACTCCGTCTTTTTATTTCCTTCTACGCTCTTTTACCTTTTCCCAGCTGATAGAACCGGAGGTGGAGCGATTTATGGCGGAATTCGACTTCCCTCTACGAATTTTGTACTCGTATCGTACGTGTATTACCCTGTCTAACTTGCGTATTGCCATAGTGGGTTAAATGTCATCGAGACTCGTGGTATCGCATGCTTTAAAATTTGCTAATTGTTATTATTAGATGTATGACTTAATTTTTACAGAGTTTTTAGCACATTTATATACTACAAAAAATGGGGAACAACGAACGTAACCTTGGTAATATTGTCCATCATTTTCTACGACCTTGCGCCATCTCTCAGGTAACGTACGAATGACGTAGGGAATGAAATTTGCAGGCATCGAGACAATAAAGCCATCGACGTTCTGAACTGTTCAACCACCACGGCGAGGTGCTGCTTCATTGGCCGGAACAAGTGGTGGTGTGGGGGGGCCGAGTCTGGTGTGCATGCTGCGTGTGTGGGAACTTGGCATTTGAAGTTCGTGAGGGTCTTCTGAGTAGCGCGAACAACACGAGGTCGAGGGTTGTCATGCGACAACAGTATGACAAACCCGCTTCCTTGCCCAGTAAATGGCCATTTGTGATCTCTGGCCTCTTCGATCAGTTTGTTTAATTGTCGGGTGTGGCGTTTCGCAGTCACCGTCTGACGACCAGTTTGTAGGAGTTTGTAGTAAATTACACCCTTTATGTCTGGTGCGACAGATAAACGAGAGAACCTTCTTCTTTTAAGTGGATGTCCAGTTCCGGCGTCGGTGTATTGGGATCCAACCACGACTTTTGCGTTTGAGATTCTAATAACAGAAAATGTACTTGTCATCAACCGTCTCTAAACGAAAGCTTACTGTGGCCACGCCAATATGTGCTACGGCACAGATTTTTATGGCGATTGGTGGATGTGTAACTGTGTGCAAAATTTTTAGGCTTTTTGATAAGCGCAGACTCCAGCATGTGTAAGCTGATCTCGGGGCGCGGGAGACAGTTTTTTGTTTTAACTAATTGCAAGACTGCGAGGCATTTTTTGTCTCCTTCCAGCCCACCCAATGAGCCTCTGCTTTGTCCTGCTGAGGGGCCAATTTCAGCATTTTAGCACTGGTGCTGTGGGCGCAGCGGGTCAGGGCGCAGCCACCCCCAAGACGCCCACCTCGCAGCATCCGCACGCCTGGAGGAACGCGACGCGAGTCGACAAGGTGACCTGCCAACTGATCATCCGGTGTCTCCTGTGGGCTCATCAGGCCCTTGCGGTGCGCGCAAACGCCAACCGCGAATGTGCGCAGGCCTTCGTGGACACCGACCACAAAGGTGAATCAGAGGTCTCAATCTATGCCTAACATGGTACACGCTATCCCGCAGTATTCCACGAATTTCACGTGCGTCCTTGGTGTGGAAAGAAAGCTGGGGAACGTAATCGGCCTGTAAATTAATGAAGTAGTGAATTGTGTTGATTCGCGTCTATTCGCTCTCCTGCCGCATTCTTCTCCTTCCCACAGTCATGAGGGATTGTCTCTAGTGCATGTACCACCCCCATTACCCACTTCATTCTTCTGACCAATCAGACGTTTGTGTTTTCGCTAGTTGATCCAGACTCTATTGGTCAGCAACCATGATAGTCATTCGCAACCTTGAATATACGTACTCGACAACACAGCTAAGTAAATAGTCGTCTGCCATCTCGGGCATCTGCGTATCGTAAACGTGTCCACCCCACACAGGGCAGTTTGAGACCGCATGCTAGTGTCTTCAATCAATATGACAAACTTGAGCATTGCCATGGTATTATGTGATTTTCTCCCTATTGAGCGACTGATTTAATAGAAAATTCTAGTGCCTTCGAGTAAGTTTTATTAATTACGCTTCCAGTTACGGGTCTGCTGTCTCCCCCGGCTTGGAGTACACTCGAGTTGCTTCACGAGGCGGCGATGAAGGAGGCGGGTGACATCTCCACCTACACCGATGTCGATTCTGCGGACTGCATTCGCGCGGCGTACGGTGCTGACGCCGAAATCCGTCTGGCGTCTGCTTTGCAGTCGACGTCGGAGGACGGTTTTCCTGACCTCGAGGACCACCTCGCTCGTATCATGGAGCCTGTCGTTAAAAGTGAGTTTTTAGTGAATTTTCTAATGGCAATCATCCCACTTTCAGGCGAATCTACACGTTTGATTGTTTTGCACTCGTTATAGAGGAAATTTGACTAATTGCAAGGTGGTGTCTTGACCAGTTTTGTGGGTTCTTCTTAACCTTGGTTAGAAGTGATGTGGACCGAAATCTGCTACCAGTGCTTCATACCGGTTGAGTACCCTGAGTAAACACGAGCCCACTACACAACGTGTGTTTGTCTTCTTGTGCACGGAATGGAGCAATGCAGCATCTGGAATGGCCAAAAGCAATGTTAACGTACACGATAAAATGATGACAGTTTCCTAAATCTCACTAACTAAGGGTTTGATCAAGTCGTTTGCCAGTGTCTTGAGGAGGATCGCGCCCAGTTTAACTACAATTTAATGCTGATAGAAAACATGTTCCTTAAATAAACAGGTGACTATGGATCGAAGCGTCCTATTGGTCAGCTATTTCCAGGCCCTCAAGGAGCTAACCTTGACCGCCGACCATACAAGACTGAATTAAAAAGGCGTGCTTTTCGTTTCGGTAGGCACAGAGAAGCACGGTTTGCATGGCTCGCCCTCAGCCTGGCGTTCGTGGCGCACGGAGGAGAACGTCAATCCGCAAGCCGCAGGACTCTATGCGGTTGCCATCGAACTCATGGTCCTCCATCCACCCTCCGACACCTCTCGTGTACTCGCGGCGGCGTCCGCGCTTATCGAGTGTCTTCGAAAACGGTGAGTATTGATCTAGCAGGAAAGTAGACCGACAACGTGTGCGCAGTGGCTAACAAAAAGGGGAAGTTTCGAGCACGATGAACGTGCCATTCAAGTGTGTTCATTCGATCCGACACATCGGTTAATGCCTTCACACCCCTTGCTACTCTTTTAAGAATTTCGCTCCTTACCGGTTAGATTGTGTTCTCGACTAGGCGACTGACAGCAGATCCGTTTTTCAGTGTCACGTCCAAAAATACACGATTTAGGATCTCATTTCAGTGGTTGCCTATGGGGGAGGTCCAAGGTACATCGATTTTTTCTCCCCGTTGTAGGTCTGGAGCTGGTAACTTTACTAACTGGCTGAATGTTACCGGTGCGCTCGTCTCGATTCTGCCGGTGAGTCGTGTTTTTGATCCTTCAACTACGAATGATGCCGGCGTAGAATTGCCTTGCCTAGTTATGTTGAAGTTTCCATCAACAGGTATGCGTATCCAGAAGGCGACCCACATTTTGAAGATTAATAATTTTAGTGGGACGTTAACTACCATAGCCTTCATTTGATCTGTGCTTGTGGCTGGCATGAAGGCTTCCTGGACAGCCGTCTCAAGCTGGCCGTCTAAATCGCACGCACAATTAACGCGATAGCGGTATCCAACTATTCGATCATGCATTAGCCAATGACGGTCCAACCTTTAATGTCCCGATTAACTGCAGCCGTTCAACTCTAATTGGCAGTCTGGCCCAAATAATCAATATCAGCGCCTTTTTCTACTTCAGATGGCCTGAGGTGCACGTTATATACCGTGTTGTCATAACTGTGTCACTTGTTTTAGTTTGTGTTCCGCCACAACATTTTGTGTCAAATCTGCAACCTCATCCACGACCCATGCTTTGGCGACAGCGACTTGTGGCCGTCAGCTCTGGTAACAGTGAAGATGGGCGACAGCCCCTCACCCAGCACCTCTCCAGAACCACTTCGAAGGCTTCTCGAGGTGTTCCGTCGTCGCCGGTCCCTCACTGGGCAGCCGCTGCCGCTCACTGTCTTCGAGGACGAAGTCGAAGACCCAAACGACGGCACCTGGGAAGTTCTGGGCAGACCACACGCATCGGCTGTGCTGTTTTTCGAAAAGATTCTTCCCCCTCAATTCCCAAAAGGACAGGAACTGCCCAACCACAATTTCAAAGCCGCCATTTGGCATGCCATTTGGAGCCATGCCAATTTGAACGAGAATCCTACGCTACTGCGGTTAGAACTGATCCTTATAATCTGTCTTAAGCGTTACCGTTTTCCTTGCCGCGTAATTTGAAGCCTTGATTGCGATCACCGTGGTGTCGCTGTGTTGGAAACATTCCATTAATCACTTGTAAGACGTCCCAGATGCTTCATAGGTTTCAATTGGGCAGTCTTAGACGCATGCACTCATTTTCAATTGTTTTACCACGGGTTAATATCAGAATACTGATTAACAAAGAAAATAATTTGATGAAAGTGTATTTATGGGTATTGTATATGAATCTTGACGGGTAGTCATTAGGCGAAACGAGGTTTCCGTGGCGCTTTTTCTGTCCATAAGGTTGATGCACAAATCAGTCAAATTTCAGTGGGTCTTTAAGACATTCTAAGTAACGAGAAGTACAGTCGCTTCATCAGAGCAAACCACTAAAACAGTGGACACGTAGAAATTTGCTGTGCAGAATGTGTTGCCTTTATACCAAAAGAACCATGACCATAATGCCGAAAGGAATGATGTCTTGAGCTAGGAGTCAGTGAGATCTTACTAATGTATCCAACATCAAACCCTGTCTTGTGCATTCAATTCCCACTCGAAATTCAGCAAGAATCCTGTCGAGGTCGGTGGCCCAAGACGACTGCGCGAAGTCATTGCTCTCCTGTTTTTCCTTATTGCAGGGTCTTTGATGAATTCGTGCTGAAATACGTGAACAACGAGGCCAAATTGCTAATGGCCTTTTCACTGATCACCCCGCCAATGAAAGCACTGAATACCGACAATTCGACCAAAGTCGTCGACGTAAGGCTTTATGCAAACTCTGCTAATACGTACCATATTAGCCCATACGTTTCTCCCCGAATGCCTAATGCAACGTCAGTACGACATTTAGCTCCTACACCCCTACTAACCCCACCATCTTGAATTGACATGTGTAAAGTACCCTCTTTGCCTTCTTCGAAACACTTTCATAAAAAAGAAGTCCGTTTTTGCACTCTTCTGTCCACAAACACGTGATATTGCATTATGAGTGTCTAAAATTATTTCCTTTTTTCATTTCAGTTGACAGTGAGTCTCTACAAGGCGGTTCAACAAGTTGACGAGGCTCTAGCCGCAAAGAATGTGCCCATGTATCACGTGAACACCATTGCAGATCTGCTGTATCATATCAAGTACACCTTCGTAGGGAACGCGGTTAAAGAAAAGGTACAGGGTTTGCTTGGGCAAATGCGGCCGCGGCTACAGGCCTGCCTCAAGTTCGTTTTCCCCACACCCATCACCACGAATACCTCACCTACACTCCCCCCTGGGAACGCCAACGACTCCGCGCCGCACAACCCGGTGCTCTTTCCTGTTTTCGAAGAACGGGAGTACCGAGCTGCCCTTCGACCTCCCGCCTGCCTCGGCGATGATTTCTTTTGAGATCATGCATTTATTCCGATTACGTGGTTTTTTGCTGTAGATGTGCCACAATTCAATACATACAAGCATTTTTCTACAATCCGTCACTTTAACGTATGCGCATTAGGCGTCGCCGAGGGAATGCATCGCTTCTGACATTGACTGTTGGAGCCTTGAGCTGCAGAATCCCTCGTGAAGGGCATTTTTCGAAATCTGGCGAGCGCATTTTTTGGCGGAGTGTTTTTCTGCCACTTTCACCCAACACGTCCCGGCATAGTAATTAGAAGAACATGTGTTTTCATAAACAATTCTATTCGGCCATAAGTAAAACAAGGGGACTGCACTGTGTATTTATTTACAAACACGAAAAACATCCTGCGTTCTACCGTCTAGGACTCGATAGACTCCTAGATCGCACGCGCTGACGCCTAGGCGGAGAGCAGGAGGCAGGCGAGGGTTGTCTGTGCCTAGGAGAAGGTGAAGCCTGATGTAAGCGACCGCGTCTAGGTAAAGAGGGGGATGCAGCGGATGGAGAAGCGGACCTTCCAGTGACTGATACACTCCTAGACCGCACGCGCTGATGCTTTGATGGGGAGTGGGAGGCGCGTGGGGGCCGCCGTTGTCTTGGAGGGGAAGGTGAGACTTGATGTGGACGGCCACGTCTAGGTGGAGAGACATTCGACACGGGAGGCGCTCTCTGACGGCGAGGTGGAGAAGGAGATAGTCTACGTCTCGGAGATACATCGACTTCAGATGTTGGTGAAATAAACCTTCGGTGGGAAGGAGAATTATGTTTTTGGGGCTTTTGAGATGGAGGATAGTTTGGCGGAGTAACGTGTCGTCGTTTCGTGTGTGGTGATGGCATGCGCTCGTGCCTTGAAGGGCCAACAGGAGGTGAAAATCTTTTCCGTGGCGTTGGTAACATCTTACGTTGTGAATGGGCCGCTTTCCCGCGTCCTTGAGGTGATTGACAGCGATCCCTTGTGGCCCTACGCGGTGGAGAAGGGGAGTCGTTGTGACCGAGGCCATTATTTTTATCGAGCCTGTGAGGAGATGAGGATTTCCCGGCCGACTGCTGCTGTGACTTAGCAGCTCTCGCTTTCTGAATTTCAGCGATCTTGCGCATAGCTTCTGGTCCACATCCATGCTCACGGACAAAGTCGGTCAGCCAAGGTGCCTCCCCATCGCCAACACCCGTTGCAGCTTGATTTGCATCCTCGCGTCCAACACGGACCACTCCAGTTGCAGGAACTTTGTACTTTTCCACATGGTCCACGCGAATTATGCGTCCTGCAAGTTTTATGCCATTGAGATTATCAGTGGCCAAGACGGTGCTCTTTTGGTTTTCGTAACACACGAAGGCAAATCCTTTCGAGCGACCGGTATCTTTGTCTCTTACAAGATTGATGTTGGCGATTTCGCCATACTGTGAGAATACGCAGATTACATCTCCCTCCGTCAAATCGTAATTAAGCCCACCGACGAAAATCCAGGCAGAATCTTTGTATTGTCTATGCCAACTACTTTCAGTGCCTGTGTATCCCAGTCGCAGTTCACGCTCGTTCATCGCATTCTGATTCTTGGTCTGGGTTATCGGATTCATATTTTACAAAACTTTGACCTGGCAAAAAAATTGAGGCGTTATAAAGAGACTGAAACTTTATCGAAATTGCAATCAAAATAACTATAAACAAGAGCTATATTAAGACGTCTTACCTTCTAAACATTATGTAAACATTCAAGTCAAAGCCAGTACAATAAATAAATAGAGTCCCCGAGGTAACTAAGATAAATAAGATCGGTTATCTATAATCGGTATAAACTTTAATACCAGAGAGAAGTGATTTCTGCAGTTTTACTCCGCTATTACAGATAACGATCTCAACGCACTGATGCTTGACATTAACTTGTCAAATGCTAGAATGTAACATGCTTTAGCTATGCTAATTATTACCAGCAAAAACGCTGCCAAACATTTAAAACTAGCACAACTTTTACAGTAACTCAGTTCTGAGTCAAATCAGAGAAAATACGCAACGGAAGCTCAACTGTCCATCAAGAATGATCGAAGAGACATACAGCAATAATAACTTCTACTACATTTTGTCAACTGTAAAAGAGACAAAATCATTCATATTCAGCAAAAATTAAGAACTTTTGAACGACTGCATCAACACAATCATAATTCAATCAAGTCGGAAACATGTTGGTGTTTAAAACGACATTAGCATTATAAACAGTCGTGATAAGCAGAAACAAACATAGCGTAGCCGATTATATAAAGTTATGTTAAAATTTAACAAACAATCAATTTCTGTTAACATACCCGAGTGAATTACAAAGCGACAACGACGATGCCCCAATCGCTTGATAGAATCCAAATAGTCGCTGAATTCTGGGGCGTAATAAAACATTTTTTGGTTGATGATTGACATGTTTACAGTACACGTGATTTCAGAAAAAAAACATTTACTGTATTATCCTAGAAAAATTTAAAGCCATATATATCACAGACGGTGACTCATGTAATGCGAACGATTAATTAAGGAAAAATGATATCGAACTATATGAATATAAGGAAATCGCATCGCATTATACGCGAATAGAATCATATTTCATTATCATTACCTATATCAATGGTCTTGAGTTCCAAACTAAAATTTTCAGATTGTGTATAGAGAAAAGCTTTTTCACGTAAATCTGAATAAATCAGCAGTAATTTTGCGTATATGGAGTTAAAAATACCCAATTGATTTCTTTATTTTTTCCAACCGGGATGAGGTGTAACGAAGTCATGGATAAATTCTCTCACTTCTATTACCCACCACATTAAAATTTTTAATGCTATTTTGTAATGCAGCTTTGCAAGCTTCTATCGAATTAATCAGAATATAATGTCAAACACAAAATATTGTCAAGTCTATTATCCCTTTTGTTAGAGACCTTGTCAGAAAATGGCACAGATTTTCTTTTTACACCAGGGTTTGTAAAAAAAACTAATATTAATCCCGGAAAGGCAACGCAAATGCCGTGAAAGTAATGAAAAGCGAAAATACAGTCATTCAAATTATTGTGACAAATGGTCAAGAAACTTTTGCAATAACTAAAAATTAATTTTTTTAATTTAAACTTCTAAAACATGGCTCGTAACTTAAATAAACCCCCTTTTTTACAAGAACATGAAAGTGGATTCAACCTTGAAAACTCGACGCAAAACTGGAAAAATTGAATCGATTTTTTATATTATGGCACATTGCTTGAGGAATCACTGAATTGTCGGGGCGAAAAAAATGCTTTTTTTCTAAATTTAATTGACGCAGAGGCGAAAATCTGATTACATAAACTCTCATTTAAAGGATGCTTTGTTTCCCTTAAATAATACACGCTATGAAACATTGATAAAGTTTTTGTATGAAAATAAGTTTGCTTGGCATTTGCACAATGCTCTATTTTTCTCTCGTAAATTGAATTCATTAATGATAACTGAAAATTTTTACTTGTGGAAAACACAACATGGCACAGTAGATTAAAACGACGTTAAAATAAATAAAAGTGATTATGACTTAAATGTATGCTTATTTATTAGGAAATCTTGACTTGTTTTTAATAATATTTCAAAAATATTTCTATTTTAATCGCAAAATTTAGCACCAGTAAATAAATAAATTTACTGTGGGAAAATGGGAGATTTCCTTGCGTTAATAAACTTATCAATTAAAAAATGTAAAAACCACACCTGGATGCAAAATGACCAATTCTCCTCAATTTATCACAATTTCTTATTTCGTGATTGCACCAATCAAGAGTTTGTATAAGAATGTATAATGCATCAACCATATGAAATATGAAACTGTTAAGTACTTTTACTTTAGCTTGAAAATGCGTACGTGCGCTTAAGCATCTGCAAAGGTAACATTAATTGGTGAAGTATATGTTTTCGGCAAGGGCATCACCTTTTTGA